TACAGTCCCCATGGTGTATTGATAGTGGTGAAATGCCGGCAGGTTGGCGCGAGCGGTATCTGGAGGTATGCATCAACCAAGTCAATCTTCGAGAAGCATGTGCTACCGTGCAATGCTTTCAGGAAATCCGCCGATCCGATGGTGGTAGCCGCACACTTTTGCAACCGCGGGTTGAGTGTTAAGCGGTAATCGCCAGGAATTCGCGGTGTTTTTCCGTCACTTTTGATCGCGATCACGATCAGCATTGCCCACGTACTGGATGTGACTCGTGTGATTATGCCATCGCGTTTCACTTTCTCAAGGGTCTGCAGTACACCATCACGTTGGCCGTAGGGAATTACACGTCGTTTCAGGAAAATGGGTTCACCATCAACTTCCAGTTTGGCCGGCTGTACGTTCATACCTCCCTTATTATAGGAACATTTCTTCACCAGGTGCTGTAGATGGGTGTGCATATTGTACATAGAGCTTGTATGGAGCGACATACAATGGTTCAATTCACGAATGGCGGTTAGGCCAAGTATGGATGGACTGTTTTTAGCAATTAGGAAGCAAATGGGAACAAGGTGATTTTCTGTCGAATGTACCATCAATGAAACCTCACCAATCAATGGCAATTTGTGTCCAGTCACCCCAAGGATTGGCACGGATGTCGGATGGATTTCGGCTCGGGGACAGATTAACCGAAGCACCGCAATAGAAATAATGGATTCCGTGCTTTCCGTGTCAACAATGAATTTGTGTCTTGTGCCGGACTGAAATGCCACATCTGTGTATAGGAATCGGGTGCATCAGCTTTCGAATCGTAGAGAGAGCACAAGATTTGTGTCATTCGCAGCAGTTGGTTGTGCAAGATTGCAACGGGGCTGTTTACACACTCTCCGAATGTGGCCAGTTTTCCCGTATGTATGACACTTGGCATTTCGGAAGCGGCAATTGGAACGCAGATGGTAAGCTCCACATGACAAACAGGGATTGATACGTTTCTCGTTATTTGAAGAGTCGTGCTGCGGCTTCGATACACACTTGGTCATTGGAGGGCGGTTTGGTAGGGTCTTCTGCCGTTGGAATAATGTGACTAATTCGCTGGAAGTGGCTTTCATCAGGTCGGCGTGTTGCTCACAGATCTTGCGGGTATCGGCAAAAGTTAAATCTTTCTTCTCCAGCAACTTCCGTTGAAGAGTCAGATTATTGATGCCTGCCACCAAGCGGTCACATATTTGTTCTCCCAGGCGATCACCATAGTTGCAGCGTGATGCTTGTTCAGCTGCAGGATGAATTCACGGCAGGAAACATGATTTGCACGAATCATAGAGCTGAATTTGGCCCTTTCATGTGCTTGGAATTCAGTGGGCAGCAAGTGGTTGAGCAGCAGCGATTTCAGGGACTCGAATGGTAGTTTGGCTGAAACCTCAGGGAACGCCAGGTCGCAACGGTCAATCATGTGATGTCATGTGCGGTGAACATTTTATTCGGCTAGAGGCCGTAACCGTCAGTACCCTATTCGGCTACTTTTTACAAAATTTTGCATGAAATAAAACAGTATTGTAATGATTGTAGTAATCGTAGTAGTACGCACGGAATTCAGAACGCCAACCACGAAATAGGACCCGAATCAATAATCAGCTATCACGAACTGGATCACAGAAGCACTAGACCGTAATGGCACGGGTTCGCAATGTCCCAAGAGAACGAGACGCGAGGAAAAGGCCACAGGACTGGCAGTAAGTAGTTCGTTTATTGGAAGAAATGAGGGTGATTAAATAATACGTAAAAAGGGAGATTATTGGCTATCTGGGCCTCCACCAATGGGATTGCAGTACTGCTTGCATAATCTTGCTTCTGTCTGCACTGTCTTGGATTAGCTGGCACCATCCACCAATGAAGTGTATTCAGAAGCCATGCACGTGTCATTGACGTCAGCATTCAAACTTGATTGATCGCAAATGCCCTGAAACTGTAACGCGCCGCTGCAGGGCAGACGCCATCGTGTAGGCCTGGATCACCACAACTATTTGTGTCTAACGGAAGCATGAAATCTCCCCTACCAAATTTCCTGCAATGATACAAGGAATATGCATACAAGACTCACAATATTTCAGCTGTCAGGTATTTTTTCAGGCTTATCAAAGCTGAAGTAAATAGATTGAACGCATTATTCTCTGATCGAATTCTGAGGACTGAATACAGCAAACACCTGTGACAAGGTATAAGACTTCTCTTTGGAAGGAAGAAAGTACGGCCGAAGCTTAATGTGGATGTCAATGATCTCAATGCCACATTCACGTCATTCCAGTCATCGGACATTCGTCCTGCCTACTCGTCACAAAATGTTTGTAACGTAGAACCATTCTCATATTGTGATGTGTTAAAACTTTTAAATAGTTGCAGTTTGTCTTCTGGTGCAGGCTCGGGTGATTTAAATCCAGCACTCTTCAAATTTGGTGTTGATTCCGGATATGGGTTAATCACCGCCATTGTAAATGAATCTCTTCACACTTCGACTATCCCCGACTGTTGGAGGCTGATCACAATCATACCGATCCACAAAGCATCCAAATCTTCTATCCTCTCCAAACGTTTTTGTCCCATAGCATTAACATCTTCAGCTCTTAAATTGACTGAAAAGGCCATCCTCAAACGCCTTAAGCAGTCTATGAACAATCCCAGTGATTCGTTACAGTTTGCTTACAAGCCTAATAGACCGACCTTGGAAGCAGTCTCCACCCTCATTCATTTCATCACTAAATCTTTGAACAGCTCTGTTAAGTCTGTTCGGTGTGTATTTCTCGACTACTCTTCTGCATTTGATTCCATTCCTTGATCTAAGTTGTTACAAAAACCGAAATCGTTCGAATGCCCCAAGCAGTTGGTAACTTGGCTATCCAACTATTTTACTGATAGAGCATAAACCACTAGATTGGGGAAGTCTTCATCTAAACCCTTGGTCAACAACTCCAGAGTTCTTCAAGAAGCTGTGCCATCCCCACAAAATATGCAGATGACGTTGTGCTGTGCCAACCCATTTCTTCTTACTCTGATCTAAGTTCTTTTACCGATAAT